CAAGATGAACCTATATTCATCGACCCCCCCATGGATATATAAATCACTATACTTGCAGTGAAAATGACTACAGTAGACATTATGAATTTACAGATTAGAGTAATAAAAGTACACAGTAATATTAATACAAGATAAATTCAAAAGGTACAAAAGCAAAGAAATAAATTGGTAAATAACTAAATAGATAAATATATAGAGGTGTCAAGGTTGCAGCATGAATTTAGTCATAGATCTCCACTTTGTTTCACGGCGTCCATCTTGAGTTGTAGTCTCGATGTTGTTTTTTCTATAATAGAGACGTTTCTGATTCTCTCTGCAGTGTAATGCTGGGAGGTTGTGGTTTTAACCAGACATGGTTAAACACGTCTTCCCAGTCAGAAGTGTAACTCCGATCAAACATTTAATTTCTTTGTCAATCATGTCTGAGGGGATTATTCCTAAAATATATACACATACCTCCAGATCTAAGTGAACGATTAAAATATCCTTTATCTCTGTTTGCGCATTTTTCCAAAACTCGCCCACCTTCGGGAAAATCCCAAAATACGCCAGTAAACCCCCACCCTTCCACCATTACTCCAACAAAGCCGAGATATTTCAGGATTTTAGTATTTTTATAACATGATGACTTTCTTGTGTCTATCCTGTTATTTCTGCTCTAATCTTCCTTTCATAAAGTTGTGGTAATCCATAACAAACGTTCTCCTCTGGACGCTGATCAAAATACCTCCTTTACTGATTCATTCTCAGCTTTTAATAAACACACCGACCGACACCAAGAGGAGAGACCTGTGAGGAACTCTTTATTATTGCACGTTCTAAACACTGCCTTACATATACAGCCATCCATGACTGTCAAACAGTTCCTCACGGTTCTGACAGGAATTTACTGTGTTTACATTCTTTCTTCGGGAGTAAGAGAGATGTTCTTTCTTTGGCTTTATTTTAGCCATCCTCACTCAGACTAAAATGTCAACTTGTCCATGAGAGGAACACATTAGGTTGTTGTTTTCCTCTTTTGATTTAACTCACCCTTAAGTTGCATCTCAGGACTTTATGGGATCAACTTCGAACCGGTAAAAAAAGTCATTTTTTAATCACTGACTGGTTGTAAAGAGTCTGATGATGATGATGATGATGGATTTGGTTGCTGGTGAGGCATGTTTCAGGGATTTATGTCCACATTAATGTACATTCCTGGCATAGTGCTGGTGGCTGTTAAAACCCGATGAGGTGAGGCTGGTGTTCCTCTGCGTGGTCTTTGGCCTCCCGCTCCGGCTTTCTCCAACTCCATTAGGGTGACACTGAACAGACCGGCTGTGGAGGTGAGATAGTGCAGACTCCGGGCAGAGAGAGGAGCCAACAGATCCCCCTCCAAACTTGACCTTCTCCTCTCTGACTCACTTCCATAGCAACCAGCCCCTCACACAGAGATGGTGTGTGGACTAAAATATAATGGAGTCACGACGGTATCAAAGGTGTCATAAGTTCACAAAACATTTGATTGGAAAAGATGAAGTAATTCTTGTAACGTATTTTTACGTAAGATGGTGAAGATTCTCAGTCATCCAGATTGGAGTCATTCCTAAAACATTTTAAAAAACAATCCACTGGACTTTGTTTCAAAGTTTAAAGACATTTTGCTTCCCATCCAGGAAGCTTTTTCTATTCAAAATGTCAGAAAAATCAACCCCCCCTTTCAGAGACATAGACAGGTTGTCAGAAATGTCAGAAATAGCGTCGAGTTTGAGGCTTAATAGAGTGGATCAAAAAGCAATGCCTTGTTTTGGCTTAAAAAATATGTAAATTGAACCCAACGGTTCCGCCCCTTTGGGGGTCGTTTCTTTGTTAGCCTGTAACACCCCCCCTTTCAGAGACATAGGCATATATGGGGCATTGCAGGCTAACAAAGAAGCCAAACGACCCCCATTCCAAAGGGGGGGACCCGTTCATCCATTTCTATTTGCATGTTTTCTAAACTAAAACCAGGCTTTGTTGGGCTGCTGGATAAAACCTGGAACTAAACGCTATTTGAAGACATTTCGCTTCCCATCCAGGAAGCAATTCAAAAGTTTCATTTTGAATTGAAAAATCTTCCTGGATGGGAAGTGAAACATCTTCAAACTTGGAAACAAACACCAGAGGATTGATTTTTAACTTTTTGGGAATTTTGAAGTAAGGATATTCTCCTACCTATCTCCTACACTATTCCCCCCCATCCCCGGGATACCTGAGTTCATTCCCAAGCGTGGACTCCTCCAGTGCACGTCGGAGGACATGACTGAAGTTGGATCACATTGTGAGCAGAAAGCAAAGATGAGATCCCAATGTCCCAAACTGGACACCATCCTCCCCATTACTGCACCTACAGGCGGCAATGGATTCCAAGCAGCAGTGTGAACAGACGAGTGCCAAGAAATGGTGAATAGTCTGTACTTATGGTGCTCTTTTTCAAGTCACAAGACTCGACCAAAGCTCTTTACTCTACATTCAGTCATTCACTCACACACTGATGGTGGTGAGCTACATAGCAGCCACAGCTGCCCTGGGACTCACTGACAGAAGCCAGGCTGCCCTACGCTGGCCGTACGCTGGCCCTACACTGGCCGTACGCTGGCCGTACACCGGCCGTACACCGGCCCTACGCTGGCCGTACACTGGCCGTACGCTGGCCCTACGCTGGCCCTACGCTGGCCGTACACTGGCCCTACGCTGACCGTACGCTGGCCGTACACTGGCCCTACGCTGGCCCTACGCTGGCCGTACACTGGCCCTACGCTGGCCGTACGCTGGCCGTACGCAGGCCGTACACTGGCCCTACGCTGGACGTACGCTGGCCCTACGCTGGCCGTACGCTGGCCGTACGCTGGCCGTACGCTGGCCCTACGCTGGCCGTACGCTGCCCGTACACTGGCCCTACGCTGGCCCTACGCTGGCCGTACACTGGCCGTACGCTGGCCCTACGCTGGCCGTATGCTGGCCCTACGCTGGCCGTACGCTGGCCCTAAGCTGGCCGTACGCTGGCCGTACACTGGCCCTACGCTGGCCGTACGCTGGCCGTACCCTGGCCCTACGCTGGCCGTACGCTGGCCGTACACTGGCCCTACGCTGGCCCTACGCTGGCCATACGCTGGCCGTACGCTGGCCGTACACTGGCCCTACGCTGGCCGTATGCTGACCCTACGCTGGCCCTACGCTGGCCGTACGCTGGCCGTACACTGGCCCTACGCTGGCCGTACGCTTGCCCTACGCTGGCCGTACGCTGGCCGTACGCTGGCCATACGCTGGCCGTACGCTGGCCCTACGCTGGCCCTACGCTGGCCGTACGCTGGCCGTACACTGGCCCTATGCTGCCCGTACACTGGCCCTACGCTGGCCGTATGCTGACCCTACGCTGGCCGTACGCTGGCCGTACACTGGCCCTACGCTGGCCGTACGCTGGCCCTACGCTGGCCGTACGCTGGCCGTACGCTGGCCCTACGCTGGCCCTACGCTGGCCGTACGCTGGCAGTACACTGGCCCTACGCTGGCCGTACACTGGCCCTACGCTGGCCGTATGCTGACCCTACGCTGGCCCTACGCTGGCCCTACGCTGGCCATACGCTGGCCGTACGCTGGCCGTACACTGGCCCTATACACTGGCCGTACGCTGGCTGTACGCTGGCCATACGCTGGCCCTACGCTGGCCATACGCTGGCCGTACGCTGGCCCTACACTGGCCGTATGCTGGCCGTACGCCCTCCACCATCAGTAGGTAATGCAGGTCAAAGGTCTTGCCCAAGGACACAGCGACACTGAAAGCCCAGGATTGAACCGTCAACCTCCTACATGTGACGCCGCCGTCACCCTCAGAAGGCAGATAGTTTTACTTTGGATGTACGCGGTTGTCCAGGAAGCATCACAGACTGCTGAAGCCTTCCCCGAGGCGATCGTAATTCTTGGGAATGTGGTCATAGGCTTTTCCAGGCCTACCGTGTCATGGTCGGAACAAAAACCAAATTACTCCCCTTTAAAACAATACCCCAAAATCAATTATAAACATTTCCTGTGAGGCTGTGGGGTGCAGATCAGTGTTTGTTCCCCGGATGCATTGATAGCCGTCACTTCCCAGCCTGACCACCATAACGCCATCCAATCGCCATGGTGATGCGCTCTCCTTGGATTGATCTGAGCTGAGAGCAGAGCATCTGTTCTCGGTGCATATCTTCCACTGAGTTACTGAGGAAAATTCCTGCTGCTCTCCTCCCACAGTAGCTTTGAATAATGGCTGTAAATGCTGCGAGCCATCATGGAAATCCTGCAAAAGGTTGACAAGGTTTAGCTGTGCTCCCTGATTTATGGTTTCAGCAGAGAGTTAGCATAAGAAGGTTGCTTTGTTTGTGATTAGCCAGGCCTGCAGACGGCCACCCTGCTCCTGAGTCCTTGGTTAAACTCCACTTCCACTGATTTATTGACGTTGTTTCTAATGTAAAGTAGAAACAGTACTTCCATAAAACCTTTCAGCATCATTTTTCTTTATTTTGCTACCTATGACCACTAACACCTGTAGGCATGCAGTGCTCTTCCCTCACTATTGCACTATTGTTGTGAACAAAGCAACTTTTTTCCTTCCTATGATCCTACATGTTGCTCTATACTCTGTGTCTGATCATGTCTGGTTCGGTTCCTCCTCCATGTTTCTTTCAAAGTGCTGCCGTTGGAGCTCAGCCTCCCGTTTGGCTGAGTTCGGCGTGTTCGTGGCCCAGGCTCGTTTCTGCCGTAATCTCCCTGAGCCAGATCTACCGGTGCTTGTATGCGACAAAGGTTGTGTGTGGCAGCCTGGTACAGCCCTTTCCCATGACTGGGAACTAATCCTCATTAAAACACTCTTTTTTCTACACATTTACTCAGAATGCAGAACACACCCACATTTTGACCCAGAGGAAAGTCTTTGAGTCCGACTGGGAAAAGATGTGAAGGATAGACAGGAATTGTTCTTCTCATCTTCTGTTTTAGGTGTTTTCATCTCAAGAAGGTCACCATGCTTTGGCTTCGCCCAGGTATCCTGTCTGCTCTGCTTCTCATTTCTGTCTATTTCACCTGCTTAGGCATCAGTCATAAGCCTCCTTCTTATAAGAAGTGAAAATATGGAAAATGTTAGATTTGCTTTCAGATGTTTGAATTCAACTAGAAACAATCTGCATGTTTCCAGACTTTGCTTCACTTTTGTAAAACGGCTGCTTTGGTTTCTTAAAGGTCGTATCTGTTGACGTGTATTTTTATTGATTGACCTAAGTTGCAGGTCAATCCTAAAAGTGACTATCTAACTGTGTCTTAATATGAATCAACAGGCTGTAGAGATTTTACCTTTAAAACATTTCATTTAGCAGCAGTCTAACTTCCCCTTCAGGTTTCTAACCTAACATCTGCTGTTTTTCAGACATTTCCATTGGTTTTATGTGATTGCGTAATATCACTGCTCTATGGACTCTACCTCGTTTTACTTCCTTCACATTAATACTGATAAGAACATTTACTCCTTCGGTTCAAATCGTATTAAATATATTTTAGAATCTTATAACTTGTTTCAAGAAAGGAGAGAAATCTACATTTATATTTCCTTTTTCTTCTGTTTATTGGAGTGAAATTATGAAAACAGTCTTTTTATTTATTCCAGAATACGGTCTGTAGTTTATATTATTAAATAAATGTGCAGCGAAGGAAACACGTAGTTTGCAGGTTTAAGGACTTTAAACTTCTCGAAGTTTGACTGCTTAAGGAGAAATCAAACACATAAGAAAATAAAAGTTAAAACTGAATAATAATTCAAAGTTCATAAACTAAACATTTAAACCTTAATTCACATGGAAACATTTTGTCTTTTTAACATGTATTATTTTTGTATTTTAAAGGACTTTGAAGAAGAACATGTTTACAATGATTTCCTTTTAGTTGGACTCACTCTGTGGCTTAGTTTTCAAAAAGTAAAACTGGTCATAAATACCCATTTATTTAGGCTTTTTCTATTTTATATATCTATATATCTATCTATCTATCTATCTATCTATCTATCTATCTATCTATCTATCTATCTATCTATATATATACGTATATATATATATATCAATTAAAGTTCTATTCAGTTTATTTCTATAGCTCCAATTCACAGCACGTCATCTGAAGGCACTTTCCAGTTCACCAGATCAACCAGTCAGATTGAATCAAAGTTCTCTCTCTATATATAGATGTATAGATATAGATCTATATATGTAGATAAACCCTAGAGTTTGACTCGGTCCCAGCCTGCAGGCTCGGCACAGTAAATGTAAACATGAGTCTATTAATCTGGTTAGATTCGAAGGAAAGGAAGATTCCTTCTTAATCTCAGAACCTGATTCTCCTGATCCTATATTTGTGAGCAGAAGAGGCGGGATGGCGGCGGCGGCGGCGGCGAGCTCAAACAGCAGCCATAAACCGCTTCACTTTAATGCCCTTTGTTCGCAAACTAAGCTAAAGTATTTCTTAAGTTTATTATTTCTGCTCATCTGAGATAAACATGATAAATAATAGAAACATGAAATCTATGCATTTTGTGAATTAGAGAAATTCACAAAATGCATCACGATTTATCAAAATATCAAAAATATTCTGAATCATTTTTTGTCAAATCATCTTTCATCAAAAGCCAAACACTCTCCTCTGAGCAACAACCGAAGCATTGAAAGAGTGGAATAACAAACGCAGACATTTGGACAAAAAAGAAAAGAAAACAAGTATGTGTTCACATGGGCACGCGTGTGCTCACACTAACGCTTGTCTCTCCAAAGGCACGTCTGTGGTGAACTCAGGCTGACAATCATCTCAGTGTTTCCTGCTGGACACAGCTGGACAGAAAAAAACTGCAACATCTACGCATTCAGTCTGCAGCTTTACATGATTCAGTCATTTCCAACCTTTCATTTACCTTTAAGTCCAGTTTCACCAAAAGCCATCAGCAGATTTACTGATGGAAATAATAGTGAAAATAACTTTAGAATTTATTTTTTAACATTGATAAAGTTTATCATAAACCACTGAAAGACGATTTTTGTTGTTTTTCATATTAAATAAGCTGCTTCAAGAAAAAACTGACCTGATATTTAAACAATAAACTGATTTCCTTTTTCTGGTTCTGCTGGAGGTTTCTTCCTGTTCAAAGGGAGTTTTTCCTCTCCACTGTCGCTACAAGCATGCTTAGTGTGAGGGATTGCTGAAGAGTCAATGAGTCGATGCAATCAGCTGGTTTTCCTTAGATAGAAAACTTTGAATCAATCTGACTGGATGATCTGGTTGATCTGGATCTATAAAGTGACCTGAGGTTAAAATGATCTTTATCTGACTGACAGGTGTCCTCTTGTTGTTGGTAGAGAAAAGAAAAGAAAAGAAAATTTATGGACTGACTTTAGATTAGAAAGATGACAAAGAGGCATCAGCAGCTCAGATAATTCCTCCAAAGTATTCATGTTTATTCCTCCAGTATAAATCCTGGTGATTAGAAACACTTTTATAGAAGTTAGAGGATCAACTTCAGCTTTTTACTCCAGTAAAAGTACCATTTTTAAAATGACTTAAGATATAAAAGTAAAAGTAATCCAGGAAAAACTGTTAAGAAGCTTTACTGCTCTACTCTATTAAAGGAAAATTTTTCTATAATTCTGAACGATAAATTCCTTAGACTTTATTTTCTTAGTTTATAACTAATGGTTTCACATTTAACTTTGCATCATCTGGAAAAAGATTTATTTTGTTATGTGGTGAGCAACAAGTTGGGGCAGCACCGAGTCCAACCACAGAGACATTAATTGTCTGGATGAAACTAATTATTTAATTTTTTTAAATACAAACAGGCCGTAATAAAAATGAGCCTAAATGAAGAATAACGAGCTAGCCAACATTTCTACTAAACTAACAAAGTATTTCTACTTTGTTAGTTGATGAGGGACATATTAGTAATTCACAGGTAGAGTTCACTATAGTTCACAGAAGCAATGATGAGCATCTAGATCTCATTTTCTGTATTGGGAAGGACGGAGCTTTAAATAGATCATTGGAGGTTTGTTTTAAATCGCTTTAACTGATTCGTGTTAAAACACGGATTACTAGACTCTGACGGTAGATAGTTTGATCCCAATGATCAACACCCTGAACAGTAATCGCCCAGAAAGGATTGGTGGGTGTCAGCGGGTAACCAGAGCTCTGACCCATTTAAAGAAGATGTAGGTTATTGTAATTCTCAAAATTTAGGGTTGATGTGGTTATTGCCACTTAGAGATTTCATTTAGATTTTATTTGCACCATTACTGAACTCGTGCAGGTTGAGGTTGTAGATTTTAATTCCCAGGGAACCAGTTTTCATGAAGACAGCAGCGGATTCTGTCTCAGGCTGTTGCCTAGCAACCGATTGCTCTGTTGCCAGCAACTGTTTTCATCTTGTCCAAGTTTGATCCAGATGTATCAACAGGAATCCAATGACATTCTGAACTAAACCACACCTCTCAGATGTAACTATGGAAATTGGAGACTATTTCCTGATTATTCAACCAAACTATTATTTTATTTTTACCATTTTAGATTCTGTATGGAATTTGAGTTACAATCTAGATTATTATTATTTATAGAGAGATTATTCTACACAGAGAATAAAGCTGATTCTTTGCTACGCAGCAAGTGGCGGCCTAGTGGTTAGAGCAGAGCTCTGTGCCCTCAGAAGATCCCCACAGACTGCCAATCTGGGTCCCTGAGCCAGACCTTTAACCCCACTCTGCTCCCCGGGCGCCGCACCATGACAGCCCTCTGCTCCCCGGGGGGAGGGGTTAAATGCAGAGAGGGAATTTCCCCACAGTGGATCAATGAAGGGATTTACAGACATCACACAGATGTTTTCACTCCCCCCCCCCATCCACCCAGCTGGGCACGGTCCAGCAGAAGATTATAGCTGTACAGAAAACGTGATTAAAGTCATCAGTTTCTCATTTTCAAGAAATCCGTATAAAAAAAATAAAATAAAAAAAATTACAGAATAATTTATACAAAATAAACTTCTTTAAAGTCACTACTTCCTCTGCTGAGGTATGTGAAATATTATTACAATGTTAAAGATGTTTTATTAGATATTTCTTCAATGTTTAGCAGCAGCTTCAGCTAAAACAGAACAATAATAATAGATATAAATATTTAATAAAGCAACATAGGAAAGATAAGGCGTCTTCTTTGGCATCTTGTTTGAAGGACTTTAGGAACGATAAGGTAGAGCGTTGCAGGCAGCGGGGGGGATTTACCATTAGGCAATACTAGGCAGCTGCCTAGGGCCCCAAGTTCCTGGAGGCCCCATAAAACTCAGTTTCCATGTATGGTTAATACAACTATTCCTTATTTGTGCACATTAATTATGTTTCTGATAATCCTTTGGCTAAAATGCCATCAGAACGCTGATAATATTAAGTGTGTCTCAGCCCCCCCCCCCTTCAGTGTCCACCATATTGGATCAGTCCTTTTGCTGCACATGTTCAGAAAGGTCCAAACAGACAGCAGCAAACCATTTGAAAACAAACCATGCAAAGAGCAGTGTTGCCAACTTAGCGCTTTAGTCGCTATATTTAGCCACTTTTCAGACCCCTCTAGCACTTTGATTTCTAAAAAGCTCCTAGCGCCAAATCTAGAGACTTTTTTCTGCTACTGGAGACTTTGGAGACAACATCTAAAAGCAGCGAACTCTGCTCTCCAGAGCGAGTAGATTGGTAACCCCCGCCTCCTGCTCTCCTCTATCTTGTCTGCTGTCATGATTCATGCAGCTATTATTTCATCCAAATGAAAAATGGAGAACAGATAAGCAGATCATGGCTTGTCTACAGTGAAAAGAAGGACTGGGTTATTTACTTTGGCCTTTTTGGAAACACAGGAAGGAGCAATCAGCTAAGTGAGCTTAGTGCTTGGAAAAAATCTTTCATTCCTTTAGAGACAGCATGAAAAGTCAGCTGAGTACAAAACATAGAGAGGAAAACAAGAAGAAAAGGGACAAGAAGAGAGGGACACAACCTAGAACAGATAATGGATGTCTATTCTATTAACATTTCTACATCTGGAGAATGGGGCTGTTCTATGTGTTGTCTTCTCCATTCAGAGGTAACCTGACTCCGCCAGATGGATTTGCTCCGCATATCCATCTGGAAACCTTCCATTGAAGTAATTTTGGGAAGGGGCGAAAATACTGGTTAGCTGATTGGCCTATGTTGGTGATAGACGGGCCAAATAAACCAATCAGATCAACGAAGCATATGACGTACTAACAGCCAGGCTACTCTTGCTGAAACCAGTCGGGAAAAGAGCAAAAACATCTTTTCCTCTGAGAAAAGCCTCCAGATCAGTGTTTTGCTCTTCTTTCAGTGAAGAAATACTCTGTAATTCCGAGAAAACTTGCTCGATAGCCACGCTAACGCTAGTTTCATTGGCTGAAGCCGCCATGTTCTTTAGACTGAACTGTCGCGCTTCTCGTTGCGTCACACCTCAACCCGCCTCAAAGCCAACGCTGATTGGACGTTCGTTTGGTGAACGGCTCCAAATTTTCTTTAACGGAGAGTCTCCAGACTGATCTGCGAGTGAAACCTTGAAAGCTCGCGAGATCAGGATGGTCTCACCAGGCTAATTCAGAGGGGCCCCTGCCTGTCTTTGCATAGGGCCCCAAATGTCCTAAATCCGCCTCTGGTTTTAGGGATTTTTCAGACGTAACTTTTTAACCCTTGCCATACCTTAAAGCACTTTACCGACCTGATCGATATGAAACAGGAAGCACATTAAAAGCTAAAGACGTGTGAGTGACAGAACTGACGGCTTTGTAAAAAGCAGTGGTTACAGATGTGGAATCGTCTCCATGCATTTGATCTGAAACATGGATTCAGCTGCTTCAGTGGCTGAATAGAAAAATTAAATAGAGACGACTCAACATCTGCCACCTCTGGAAAAATGCTCCAGTTTGTCTTATTTAGACCCACATTTGAGGTTTTAAGACTCTCCAACCTGGTAGGAGAACCACTGTGACTATATCTGGTTTCTATTTGATTAAAGCTGTATTCATATATTTGACAATGAATCCAGCTGATAGATAAATAATTAGCTGTTTCCATCCTTCAACATTAAACCTTTTTTTTTTGTCTTTTTGTGCCCCCACACTTGCCCAGCCCCCATCCATCTTCCTTCCTCTCTCACCATATCTCCTTATTTTCTGTTATCAGGCCAGCAAGCTGAAATTTACTGCCTGTTTGGGTGGGGTGCACATCTGGATCTTATTTAAAGGAATCATCCTGCCCTTTTCTTTCTTTATTGTTTTACTTCCATGCATCAGGAGACATTTACCAGCTGTTTATTAAGCAAGATATTTTTTTGTCTTTAAAATGCCAACGGTGAGATAAATGGCAAACAGTAAATCTGAGTTAATTAGTCTGAGGCCGGCGCTGTAGTTTGAGGTTTTTTTGGTGGAAAGCTTTGATAAATGGCTCTCAGGGAATGTTTTGCTCGGATTTGGCCAAATTTCCAGGACGATATAACATATTAATCGCCATTTATGCAAACAGGAGAATTCTGCTATAAATCTTAACAGAAAACTGCAACAAAACAGTTTGGAAAAACGTTTGTGTTGTTTTCTGACAGCCGTCAGATTCAGACGGAGAAAAAAGAAATATTCTCTAAAGCTAACAGGAAAATTCCTCACATACCCAAGTTCCCAACCGAAGACCTTCCTAATCTATCAGAGTCTGTGTGGGGGGGGGGCTCCACCCCACCCACTCATTGCAGGTCCTTTCTCTCTCCCTCACTCTCAGCTCGCCCGATGCATTAGCATCTGGCATTTTCTGATATTTAGTAGAACTTCTCTTTTTATTATAGATTTGCACCTGATAGTGAAAATCTGTTTGGTAGATATCTACAGAAAGAAGCAGGTTCTCATCCTGCATCTGTGTGCAGACTAAGGGGGGTCATGTGTTTGGGATTTCAGAGGCTTTGCCAATCAGAGGCTGAACATGACCTGGGTGGGGGAGAGGCGTAGGATTTTCAAAGTACTTTGAAAGTCAAAATTATTAGTAGTTTGTAGTAAATATGTAAAGGAAAGATATTTTAACATATTATTAGCTGGATACAATCTTTAAAACTGCATATAATCAATAAAAGTCTAAACTATTGGAAGAAACTTTAAACAGAACACATTTAAACATCAATTATATTTTATATGTTAGATAGATAGTTTTGGTCCAGAAGTTATATTTTCAGAAAAATTTATAATTTGAATGAGTTTCAGAAAACTGACTCACTAACGTCTAATCATTGAGTCAACTACCCCCCCCCCCCCCCCCCCCCCCCCCCCCCCCCCCCATGCAGTGATACCAGTTGTGGTTAAAATCTTCCACAGAAACATCCAACACTCTATAAATCAGTCAAAACATCAGTAATTCTCTGCAGTTCATTGCATTTGCAATATAATCACAATTTAAACACAATTTTCAAATTGCAAAGGGACTGATTTTTAATCCCACGATATTTAACAAGATAAATTGCGCCAGAAGTGGGTTTGTCGTCACACAGAAAGGTGACGAGCGTAGAAATGAGAATGCAGATCCGTGCATGAGATAGAAATAAAGGCTTATTATCACCATGGCTACAGTGAAGTCCTGCAGGAATAAACTCTGGGGAAGAAACTGAATCCTGGGGGAAACATCTAGAAATTTGGGGTTGGTGCAAAGGAAAAACATTGAAATAAAATCACAATTTTAGTTAAAAATAATCACAATTTTGGTTTTTGGCAAAAATTGTTCAGCTTTAAACACCAGTTTTCTCTTCATACGTGTCCTAGACATCAGCAATATACATAAATTAAGTATTAATCAAATTTTGGGGTAACTATTAAATTTATTTTAACCAAGGAAACTGATCCGAAGCATTAAACTGGACATTACAGTAATTTCATGTTTTTCGTTCATCTCAGACTCTTTAAACTGAGAAATATGTCGTTTGTTGTTGTTGTGGTAATAAAATATCTTTGGTTAAGAAATATTTTTAAAAGCTTCTTTTTAATGCATATTAATAAAAAATGCCAGTAGGAGCAAAAGTCATACATTGGGAGAAATCAAACAGTAGTAATTGATAATTTCAAAACATTTAACTAAAAAAGAAGAAATGTTTGAATTTTTGTGTATTTGCAGGTTTTATTCTTCCGATCTGAGACCAACACTGACTTCCAGCTGTCTTAAAGATGATGCAGCTGTTGCTGCAAAGCTTTAGAAAAATATCTGCCTAAGGAAGTAAATTAGTGATCAAAGCTGCATCAGGTGCCCTGAATAACAGGTTGCAATAAAGTAATATTTAGTTAAACCCAAACTTTAATGGAAGCAGAGCATAGATCCAACCCCAGCAGATCGGATTTTCTGCTAAAAGAGGCAAACACTTTGTTAAGACCAGCTTTGAAACCATGACTGATCTCTATTATTAAAGCTCTAGTTTCCAATCACATTGTCCTCATAAAGTTATAAAAGTCATTTTCCTTCGTTAACCCAGGAATTCGCCTGAGAATCAGGGAATTGCTGCAACACTCGGACAGAGTACTTGTTCCACGGTGTGGATCGGCTGATGGATTCCTGTTGCTAATCCCCAGATGCTCTCCATCTCCCCTCACCACATTCCCAACCCTCCCTCCTCCACAGGTCATGATATTACCAGTTCCCTGGAACCAGCCAACATCGACACCAGTATCCTGGAAGAGTACATCAGCAAGGAGGACGATAGCGCTGACATGTCAGTAGGGACCCGACCCAGCAGCTTAAAGCACCAACCAGAGCAAACTTTTTACGGATAAGGCTAATCTCTTCTTTTTCCCCCCTCAGCTGTTTCTCAGAGGTGCACAGCACCCCAGGACCAAATTATTCATCTCCTCAGGCAGGAGTGTCCTCCTCTGGAGGATTGGTGTGTGGTGTGAGCCCCCCTATTCCTCTACGCCAAGGAGCCCATCTGCCGGGGCCCTCTAGCTGTCAGAACGCCTACGGCCAGGGGCCATCTCTGGGGCTCAGACACGCCTACCCCTGCCTCGCACAGCAGCAGCAGCAACAGACTCACGTCAAGCCAGAACATAGGGGCCATTACGCTCCTGGGTGAGCAGAGTAGATAAAACAGGTGTAGATGTTACTGGGACGTCTTCGCCCTGCAGGTTAACTTCCTGTTTATATTAACAGTCGATCAAGTTTTCTTCTGATTTTGCTGCTTAAAACTGCTTCAAATGCATTTTTAATTACAGAGGAACTCAGTGATGTTAGATAATAAGTGAAGATGTTTTGACCTTCCTAAGTTTAGTGCTGATTGCTGGAACTTTACTTACTGCAGCGCCTCTCAGCCAATCAGCAGCGGAACCAGGAAGCGTTTCCTCTGACGGTTCCGATGTGTTAAGATTCCTATTAGCTCCTTTATCCTTTATCAATAGGTTTTTTAAGTTTTTGTTTTTTTAAGTGCTCTTAAACTCTGTGCTCGGTGGAAAGATAATCTTACATTTAACATTTTAGTGATTCCTCTGATTGCAAATATTAATTCTATCCATTTAAAAGCATTTCTATCTTTTTTGTTCCCATTTTTCATTGTGACCTTTTTATCTTGTATGTCAGGAAAACAGGAATTTATTATTTCAGGTTTTTTAAGCGCTCATTAAGTTTCTGGGAGGGGGAGTATTCTCCACCTCAGAGCTTTAAGCTCTATCCTCATTAAATCAGTATAATCACATTAAGAACATTTTAGAATTTGCTGATATTATTATGATTTAAAGATTTATCTAAACTTTACCAATAAATGGGAGATGTACTTGCTTTAACTTTTCATGTTGACTCTTCTTTAAATGCATCACATTTGTGACCAAAGTGTTGATTTAGTGTTAATCAGGATGGGAGGACTGGAAGATAAAGAACCACTTATATCCTCTCAAACACAGAGCAGTTTTTTTTATCCTAATTAGAGCAGAAATAAGACGAGTTGCTTCACAATATTAGAAAAGATTCATGTTCCTCCATAAGATGTTTTTTTTCTTTCAATCTTTGCTGTTAGGACGCTTCCTGAGTCGCCGCCAGACTCCAGCTCTGAGCCATATTCCCCTCAACAGGTGAATGGTGAGTCGCTCATCTTATTGCTTTAGAACATGTTCAAACATTGAGCAAAATCTTGCTTTATTACTAAATTATCTTCAAAATAAGACATCAGAACTATATTGCTTTATCATTGCATCATAACAAATAGATCTAAAAACATTTCTGCAGCGGACGTCTCTCTGTGGTTTATTGTCTACGATCATTTTCAGTAACGTTACGTAACAATTTCACATTTTCATTCCGGTTTTTAGATCCTAACATGATCAGAACCATGACTCCAGAGAACATCTGCCACATGACTCCAACACCACCCCTCCCACCACACGGCCACTATCCCAGCATGCATCGGGACATGTACCTGAAACCGGAGCCCATGATCTCCCAGTACCCCATCGGTCCAGCCACCAGTGGAAGTGGGGACCTTCAGCAGACACAGATGCTCCATCAGCTGCTGCAGCATCCTCAGGGCCAAGAGTGAGTCAGGAGACAGGCTGTGGTTTCCCACTTCACATGAATCCAGGGCTAATGTCTGTTGGTGTTATTCCAGCAGCATTCCTGCTCATCAGGCCAAGAAGAGGAAGCACTCTGACTCTCCCAACAGCACCTTGAATTCCCAAATCCTCACAGGTATCATCAAACAGGAACCAGGTAGGCAGGCATCTTTCTTCCCCCCCTCATCTCCTCTGCTCATCTTCACCTGCTCTTACTAACTCTTAACACAAAGAACAGAACAAGCATCACGCGTCGCTTCAACGCTTTAAAGTCGCTTATTGTCAACATGTTTGTCACAGGTGTGATGCAGGATGCAGACAACTCTTACCTGGACCCAAACTATCAGTGCATCAAGTGGCAGCCTCACCAGCAGAACAAATGGACGCAACTTTACGATGCCAACTGCAAAGAGCTGTGCGTGCATTTTTATTGGCCGATGCTGCATGTTTTTAGGCTCAGAGAGATGGCCGCCGTCCGCAGTCAGACGTCAACTATGTTTTAATTGGTTCTACTTGTAATTCAACAAAGTGCATGACAGGAATGGAAAAGGAGTGGCTTTCCACTGGATTCCTCAGCAGTGAGGTTTATGTGGGAGTGAAAGTTTCAACCTAGACAGCGTGAGGAAAGGGTGAGGGGAAAAAAATCATGAGCACCTACTTGTGCTTTTTCGGTGCCAAAATAGATAAAGAGGGAGGTTGAAATGAACTCCAAAGACCTTTGAGATATGTTATCAAAACCACCTGGTTGACCATTGCAGCTCTAAGCCAACAATGGTTAAAAAAAAACAAGATTTTCACTGGAGATGCTTTCTTTTTAAAAAACTCTCCTTTAAAGGAATCATCTATTCTCTAGTTACCTTCTAATCGCTTAAGAATAAAAGCCAGTAGCCGTCTTCATTTTAAACAATGCAGAACTTACTTTTCAGGAAGTACAGCTCGTTTTCGTTAAAGATGAAGAAAGTTAACCTGCGAAGAGTGAAACCTGTAGAGTCCTTTAAATAGGGAGAGTAACCCAGGAAAATAACCTTCCTATAAAGGTAAAAAATCTTTCTAAAAACTGATTTCTTTTTTAGAGAAAACAACCAGTTCAAGTTTTTCCTACAGAAGCGCCTCAGCATGCGGATTCTTCAGGTCCTTCAAACAGTAAATCCAGTTAAATAAATTCCTTCAACCTTTTTTCTATCTAACCGTCAGATTACATCAATGCAGATTGAAAACCTCATTCATGTAACGACAGTCCACTGCTGCATGCTCATATGAAGCATGTATGAGGCGACAGTGGAGAGAAAAACTCCTGTTTAATGGAAAGAAACCTTCAGAGGCTCTAAGCTTGGAGTAAAGGGTTAACAGCCACAACCTGATGGGGGTTTAAAGAGAGAAAAAAACACACAGACGTCCTCATCAAGGAATTTAAGGCTAGAAAAGGTAAAGAGAGACTGGTTCTAATGAGGCGTCGTCTAAAAGATAAACCAGCCGAGAAAACGATCGCTAAAGCTGAAAGCTTTCTCTAAAAAAGCAACAGGACTGAAAAAAGCACAATAAGTAGCATTAGGGTCTGAAAAAACCCAGGTGTGATCCAGTAGTCTGTCCAGCTCCTGAACTTGCTCCCTTTTTACATGTAATACGGTTTTGTGCTGTAATTCTGACACCAAATGATTCCTGCAAAAAAAATGTTAGTACCTGAATGCATGACTTATAAATAAAGTTTATTACAGGATTGAGTTGCATCATGTTGCAGTGAATTCAGTTCCAAATATTATGTGCAACTTTTATGTGTTACATAAATATATATCTGAGACAGACAGACAGACCGACAGACAGACCGACAGACAGACTTTACTGTCACACCTTAAGGTGCAAAATGAAATGTAATAATTTTGCATCAGATCTAATGTTAGTATTTTTTTTACCAGACTATCCCTTCGTTTTCTCTTCCATGTTTAGTCCGATGCCAACCTACCGTGTCGACGCTGACAAAGGCTTCAACTTCTCCTTGGCAGACGATGCCTTCGTTTGCCAGAAGAAGAATCATTTCCAGGTTACCATCTACGTTGGGATGCTGGGAGATCCGAAATATATTAAGACCAATGAAGGCCTGCAGCCCCTGGACTGCTTTTACCTCAAACTCCATGGAGTGAAGGTCAGACCAGCATCCTGCACACATAAAGCTGGGTTTTATATGTATGCTACTGGGCTTGTTTGGGAAAACCTCAAATTTATCATTTTCAAAATTCTATAACATGTTTTAGAAAATATCCGATGTCTAATTTTGCAGCCAGAGTAAGAGAATGTTTTCTGTTTTGTTTATTTATTCTTTTATTCTTCGTCTGGCAGGTGGAAGCTATGAATCAGTCGATCAGTGTGGAGCAGTCGCAGTCTGACCGGAGCAAGAGGCCCTTCAAGCCCGTGCTGTAAGTCTGATCTCTTCTAATAACCGGATCAACGGGCCTCATGCTACGACGTTACGACCCTACTGAGGTCATTTATGAACATGAAACCTTCCTAACGTCAGTAAATGATCGTCAATGAAATGTCATGAAAGCTGCACTAAATGAAACGTTATTTTGTATAAACTCTGTGTATACAGAATGAATCCAAAAGTTGTCTAAGTCTAGGTGCGTACGAACGGTGTCTTGCATGAGGCCCAGTCTGTGACTCAAACATGTCCTTCTCCATCCTTCCATCATAATATGTGTCTTCATGCACCAGAGTAACCTTGCCTCCTGAGCAAGTCACCAAAGTTACCGTAGGGCGGCTCCACTTCAGCGAAACCACAGCAAATAACATGAGGAAGAAGGGCAAACCTAACCCTGATCAGAGGTGAACAAAGTCTACTGCATTTACATGCAAAGAAAAAGTCGTCTATGCTGCTTCGGAGTCTTTGAACTGATTCCTTCTTGCAGGTATTTCATGCTGGTGGTGGCGCTGCACGCACAGTCCCACAGTCAGAGCTACACTGTGGCGGCACATGTGTCTGAGAGGATCATCGTCAGGGTAACGTCTGGCCATGTCTGTTTCCTTCTTACAGCAATCATATCCCATGTGAATGTGAAACTTTTCTCATCCTCTCCCATACTTTAACTGGTTGAATGTTTTTACCTTTACATTTTGCCACTTCTAATCCCCAAAAAGTACAAATGATTAAACAATACAAAACGTTGCTGTCTTGTAAAAAAAGATCATGAAAGTTTTGTTTCATGAGAAAATAGATTCATCCTCCCCCCCAGACTGCGGATGCTAGAATTATAGATATTATTCTATCTATCTAGATATTCCATCCATTGTCTTGTGGCCTCATTGAACTCCTGTCAGTAGCATGAATGGTTCTCATGGAGCCTGTTCTTAGGCTCAGGAGTCCCACATTTCAGCCAGACTTGATGGAATCCCTTACTGCCGGTGTCCATCACTCAGTTTAAGGGTTGCTAGTGAGACTGGCACCACAGACTGTACAGCTGCAGCTATGGCCGACTGCATTGACAAAGAGGCGCAGAACAACTTTTTGTCCCTAGCCTTCGATTGAAAAGCTCCCAGAGTTAAACAGAACCCTGATGGAGGGTCTGTCCAGTTTCCTCCAACTCACCACTGAGTGGTGATTGGTGGAAAACTCCGCCCCTTTCTTCATCCGAAGGTCCAAAACATGTGGCAGAAAATCAGAATACAAGACAATGGGTCCAAGTGAGATGATGAACACCTTTATGCTCAAACATAATGTTTTTTAGGCTCCAGTCCCACTTTGCTGATTTATCCAGCGTCTTCCTGACGTCCCAGAATCTCCTAAAACTCTGGCAGATGCTGAACTTTCTATGGATTCTTTCTATTCTGGTGTCAGCAGATTGAGCATCACGTCTGCTAGGAAGTGTGTTGGTGGTGGGCGTGAACACAGGGAGGATCCATCACTCACCTTCTGTCTGGAGGAGAACTGACGGTTTCCTCCTGTGAACCCCCTTTATATCAAAACGCTGCCAATACGCCATTATACAGTAGCTGGAAGTTAGAAACACGTTCAGCGCTCGTCTGGAACACGGCAGATACGCTGATATGTTGGAGAGAAGCTCTGGATAAGTTACGCAGAAGTTAATCAGAGGTTTAGGATCAGCTAGACGCCACGACTGATGAGGAACTGATGCTGAACGGATGTCAGATAACTGACCTGGAACTGATGGACCACGGATGGCAGACGCTGGAATATGGAGGGAGATTTTGAGCATCCTCAGAATTTCTTGACGTACTCGCCGTATGTCAGCGTGTTCCAGCGTATGTCGGCGTACTTCAGCGTGCTCATAACTTATACAAAACGTAACCATAACTTATGGATCCAGGGATCCATTCTTCCCAGTCACGCCTTTCCACTTCCACATCGCTGTCTTGGTGACAGTAGTCTGAAACAGGCCCCTCTACTGGAAGGTCCGTCTTCCACCTGGATGAAGCCAAAGGCTGGGAGCTTGAAGCAAATCCACCCAGGCCTTTTCTCTGTTGGCATTAAGCTGCATCTCATTCCTGGCAGAAATCCCTGCATCATGTATTTCCATTTTCAAAACATGGCTGCAAAACATTTTTTAAATGTTTGCAACCAAATTTTGACCAAAAGTAAAATACAGCTTCTGCTAAAAACGTTTTGCTGGACAGCAACGGCTTTGTATTTATCTGAACTGAATGAGATTGAAAAAGTTATTTTGAGCGTTTTGTTTTTTCATGTTTTTGGGACTTTTTGCTTTCATCATTGAAAAAAATAAGATATTTATGATGCATTGATTAAAACATTCATGTTATGAACAGAAACAAATAAAGTGATGGTAGAAAAAAGTAGTGAATATTGAGTTTTTGTTTAAATCTAGCATTTCTTTTTTTAAATTTGCGATTAAATGTTTTTTCTTTTTTTTTGCTTCATAAGTGGCTGAAATATGAATGCTGTATCTAGATTTTAACATCTTAAGTTAGATTGAAATGTTTTCCCTTCAGGGTCATCGGTCAGATTGTTCAGTCAGTCCAGCACATGATGAATGATGTTCTGTTTTACCCACTTATGGGATCTGAATCCTGTAGCGTCTGTGAATCTGATTCCCAGTGTACCTCTGGTTTGGACTTTTCTGCGACAGGCATCCAACCCGGGCCAGTTTGAAAGTGACAATGAGGTTTTATGGCAGCGAGGGCAGCTGCCAGACTCCGTTTACCACCACGGCAGAGTGGGCATCAACACGGACCGTCCAGATGAGGCCCTGGTTGTTCATGGCAACCTGAAAGTCATGGGTTCACTGGTCCATCCGTCCGACATCAGGGCAAAAGAAAATGTCCAGGAGGTGAGGATGGGTGTGTGTTGGTGGATGCACGGCTTATCAACATGAATATTATCATCCACATTCCCCTCACTTTGCAAAATGGCTGCAATCTTTCTCATAACAGGAAATGAAAGTTTTACTAAGCATAGATTTTATAATGAGTCTACAATATTCATTCCAGAATCAACTTCTATGTTTTTGCAGCGTCTTTCTTTTGCATGTGGGATGTTCTTCTCATTTGAGGATCATTTAACTATTTCATGACCTGTTGGTCACTAGACTCCAAATTATATAAACTGGATTGTTTTTTAAATTTTTTTATATATTGGCCAGACAGAAAAATGAGTTTCTATTAAGTGCTTTTAGACACTGACAACCAATCAGCGTCTAAAAGTTCAAGATTAAGGTTTATGTTCCCATTTTCAGACAACTACAACTTTAATAAAAAGTTTTTTAAACACTGGAATAAATATTGCTTATTTTGATTTTTTTTTTTCAGAAGTGGGGGGGGGGTGCAAATATTATACATGATATTACTATTATATATAAGTTCAGTGTGTTTTCTAGTAGATCTTCTGTTTGTTTCCTTTAATTTCTCTCTGCTCTCCTTCTCCTGATAAAAGATATGGATGAAAATAAACAATAATCTGGGGTTCATTAATCCATGTAGATTAAAAACACAGATTTACAACTATTATGAGCTTGGATTTAGAAAATTGTATTTTTTCCTTTTTGATGATAATGTAATATTTAACTATTATATATCTGATTTATCAGCTCTTTTAGTGAAACAAATAAACTTTACAATGTTACTGAGAGCTTTTTAAAGCAGAGGAGGATCTGCTGCTTTATGGATCCAGTGAAGGCGGATGGATGCTACACAATTCTATGAATGTTTCTCTTTCTTTTTTCAGACATCCTGGCTGCGAGTCTAATAACCAAACAAACACGCATATGAGACCAATTCAAAGATTAGTTTAATTAATGCACCTGCTATAACAGCCCTTCTAGATAATGTGACCCAATGAGAAGAAGAAAAGGCTCATTTCCAGCAGCAGACTTCCTCACCGTCTGTTTGCTGAACAAAGTTTTTTCTCTAAGACTGAAACTGCTGGAGAGTTTAATTTATCTCAAAAATCCAAATCGTCCCAGAAAGCAGAGATAAAGACTTGCCACCATACAGTTGTAATTACGGTAGCGTAGAACTTCTGGCCGTCCAATCACAGACCGGATTCAGTGGCGCATCAGATGTTTGGAACAGTGAGCTTAATTCTCAGGAGTGACAGCGGTGAAGCCAATCGCACAAGATGGAGGGCCAATCAGGAGCTTGTGGGCGGGTCTTAACTCAGGGATGAGGGATTTAGCTTGAACTGCAGTTTTCCGCTTGGTCCTAGTGCTCGACGATTGTCTGTGTGCGAAACATTGTGTTTGGACAGTAAAAGTGCAGCGGACATGCCCCCCCCCCAGAATGTTTAATCAGACATCATAGAGTTACAGTAGCCATGCTGTCATGTTTACTGCTTCATTTATTGAGGCCATTTTCAATCAAATTATTCATCTTCAAATAAACTTAGACACAGTGAACACGAAACATGTTTTGATGCGTGCAGCTTTTCAACAGTGAATGAGGGGAAAGGAACATTTCCATTTATAAAGTCCAGTAGTGATCCAAATGTAAACAGTGCAGGAGGAAAGGATAATCACTTTAAAATCATGGAGCAAACAGCATTGGTATGGAAAGCAGTCAGAGCAGTGCAGAATAAATAAATATGGTTCAAAAAGCAGTAGAACACAGAGTTATCTTCTATTTAAAGGGATTATTAAAAATATGATGTTTTCAAGTGTGATTTATTGTCACACCTTAAAGCTGCAGTCTGTAACATTGAGGAGAGAGCAGACTTCGACTGAAAATTTGAAGAAAAACAGGTTTCACTCCACTCCCCCACCCTCTCTGCTTCACTCATGCCCCACCTCCAAGCTCCACCCCTCTCACAGCATCTGCGCGGCTACCGCATGCGACCAGAAGGGGGGGGGGGGGGGGGGGGGGGGATTCAGCGTGTGTGAGCTGTGATTGACACTCCATCAGACGCTCCTCTGGCTGTGATTGGTTGTTTTGTCTCGTCCCGAATTATTCTTTCCAGATTGAAATACAGGCAGTAGGCGGGACCAATTGAAGCAGTTTTTTTCACAGGTTACATATCACATGTACTGCTGTCTGGGCATAGGGACAGTTTTAGCCAATATGACAAAAAAGTGATTTTTAAAAACTTACAGACTTCAGCTTTAAGGTACAAAATGAAATATAATATTTTGCATCAGATCTAATGTTAGTATTTTTTACCAGACTGGGATTCTGGGTGAGTCTGGATTAGAGTTCATCACTACAGAACTCTGATGGCGGTGGGGAGGAGGCTGCTGCATAACCTGCTGGACCTGCAGCGGGGGTGGGGGGTCATTGATGAGCAATAGACACCAAGCGTTTGTAGGGATAGTGTTTAGTTAGTCCTTTTTAAGCCTGTAAAGATGCATGTGCTGAATGCAGACATTAACATCTGCCAGCAGCGTTATTACCTAATTTGGAACTTGAGCTAAAATCACATTAAAACATTAAACCCTGAACTAGAAAAGCCCTCTGAGAGGAAATGTTGCCCCATATTGTGATTTCTACCTGTACTGAACAAAGACTCCATTCATGAGAATCCAGAGGGGAATAAAGGGAGCAGGAACAAATAAAAGCAAATGATAGAAACCTCAGTCAGTCCCATTGGGTCCCATTGGACGACAATAAAGACATTTACATTATATTTAAGCAGTAAATCAGCTCTTATTGGAAAACCCATTAAAACCTGCTAATGATTATGTTAGAGTTTCTTTTTTTTAGCTACTGTAACCAGATTGCAGCCTTATTGAAGAATTTCAGATGTTTTTTGGCTGCTTTGTTCAGTGCTGCTAGTCAGCCGAACAACTGAGTATAAAACAGGACAATAGCAGAACTACTTCCATCTTTACCTTAAAATTACATTCTTAAACAAATATATACATCACAGCCTAAAGCACTATACCTTTGAGTCCTGAGTTTATGATGATTTCTTCTACTTGCCTTAACATTATGAAGCCAAATACTGGAGAGCAAACCTGCAGGATCCTCTTTGAGAGGAATGATCTTTATATCCCTGCATGGCTCAGAATGCAGTTATTTAAAAGCACAAAGGAAAAACAACCTTTTCTTTATCTGATGCGGATAGACGTTAGGAGGGGGTACTATTAAACATGTTGCTAACCTTTTATCTATCAGGTTATGAAATTTTAAACAGCTTTTTTCAGTATTGCACAATTATCCTAATATTATTTTAGCTGTTATCTCCACTTCCTTAGATGTGCTGTCCAGCTGCATCCTCTCTTATCTGCTTTTTAGGCTGTTTTAAGTCAAATGAAGCAACCTTTATTAGCAGCATGCACCATGTGATGCCATGTCATCCTGTCATTAGGTCAACACCACAGACAATTTAAAGCGCATTTCCCAGATGAGGCTGGTCCATTACCAGTATAAGCCTGAATTCGCCGCCACTGTGGGGATAGAGAACACAGCAGAGACGGGTAATGGCCGCTCGCCTGCAAACTTCCTGTCTTCAAAATCTGCCTGTTCACAGGTAAAACCTAAACGTTGGAATATGGAGTCTGCTTCTACAGGTTTCCCTGTTTCCCATGCAGGTGTAATCGCCCAGGAGGTTCAGCAGATCCTACCTGAAGCTGTAAATGAAGGAGGTGATGTGGTGTGTGCTAACGGAGAAACTATTCCAAACCTGCTGGTTGTTAATAAGGTTTGTGTTGAAATTGTTGTTCAAAACGAAACGCGTTCAAAAGCAGAAACATATGATTCTTATCTTTATATTTCAAGGAGCGTATTTTTATGGAGAACGTCGGAGCCGTGAAGGAGCTCTGCAAACTAACAGACAACCTGGAGACTCGAATCGATGAACTGGAGCGATGGAGCCGCAAACTGGCCAAGCTGCGGCGCCTTGACAGCATGAAAAGCACAGTGAGCGGCAGCACGGTTAGGTGAGAGAAACGCAGCAGAATCTCAGCTGATTAGAGACACAGATCCGTCTAAAATGAAAATCATCTGTTTCCTGTGTTTTATAGCCAGTCTGGAAGTTATTTTAGCAGAACAGGAAGTGGTCCGCTCAAGAAGAAGACCATCAAAGCCGGATGCAAGGTGAGTGGCAGAGGTTTAGTTTTAGTTAAACCTAAACATTCTTTCTTTCTTCAAATCTAGTTCAATTCTAATCTTTTATAAAAGATCAACACAAAGCTGCGTGTAATGCTGGGGGGTTAAGAAAATTATAGTTTTCAATTCTTTTAAGGATTTTCCTAATACAGACGGTAAAAACTGCCGTAGTTTTCGGACTATAAGTCGCTCCGGAGTTTAAGTCGCATCAGCTAAAAAATGCAGTATGAAGACAAAAAAAACATATATATATGTCGCACCGGACTAAAAGTCGCACCTTTTTGAAAGGTTATTCTATCCATGGAATCGATGTTCAGCTAACTGGCGCGTGGTCGGCTAGCTACTGTACGAAGATCGCATTGTTTTATTTCCTAAACGAGCATCTGAGAAGCAGCGATAAGGCGCCAGTTGCCCTGTTGCCTACTCTGCTTGTTTTAAATATCACCACTACTATCATTAAAACTATCACTACCGTTAAAGGCCTACATGTAAAAGGCCGAGACTACAGGCCTATTTCATACCTATTTTAATCAGTTTGCTTTTAGAACATTTTACCGGTCGAGCTTATCGCCCATCACCATCCAGGAGTGTAATTCTTCATTTTAGTTCGATTTTATTTCATATCTAGCCTTCAGCCCTCAGTTAGCTTTGTTTGTCTTTTTTTCATAACCTTTAACTTTTCCTCCAGTCCCTGACCAGTTTTTCACTGCAGACAAACTGTGGTTCAGCTGCCATATTGCCATTTTCCACTGCATATTTAATCACTTTCAGCTTGAATTCAGCATTATGTGAATTTCTTTTGGAGGCATATTTCTATTCAGTCGTCATTTTAATGCTGATTTGTGTTGTTGTGGTAAGTTGTAACATTTTTTCTTTCAGTGGTATTAACAGAATACATGTTGTTGCATGCAAAGCTACACAGCGCCCTCTGGTGGTAAAAAAACCCATATATGTCGCACCAGAGTATTAGTCGCATGGCAGCCAAGTTAATGAAGTTGGCCAGTTAATCATTGATAGAAATACCTTTTCCAGAGCAACAGATTTTTGGGGTCTCTGTCCCAACTTTACAAGTCCAGAAAATCTAGATTAGATTGAGACTAAAGGATTGACTTAAGAATTAGGACCTGCAAACAGTGTAGCTGAGCAGATATGTTTGGTTTCTGAGGTTTTCCAAATAAGTGCAAATTAAATATACATTTAACGTTTAATTTGGCTATCAAATCTGTGTTATTTTGTTTTCTAACAACTTAATTCTTACAGTTGGGTGCAACAAAAAGAGCTTCAGGTAAAGTCATCAAACTCCAATTAAGCTGTTTCATTCGTAAAAACAGCAGATTTAGAGAGAATTCACATAGAATAAAGCCAACGTGTTCAGACAAAGATTTACTTTGTTTGTTTAATAGTGGCTGGATAGATGCCGTGGGGGGGGGGCAATGTTAACTTCAAACTTAAGGTATTTATACATTAACTCTGTTGTGTGTTTGTTTTATTCAAGTCATTAAATCATTGGAACGTTAAGGACTTCTCTGACACCACCTTGGTTTGCATGTGTGATGAGATGTTCAAAGCTCTGGGTATCTATATAATCTAACTAAGCTTTAAACATTTCCATAAATTGACCTTTGACTTTTCTGCTGTTTTCCTTGTTTTTTGTAATGCTGTTTGTTCATTGTTGTTTTTTAAAATCACTTGAAGCCTCCATCTAACCGATGGATCAGTCCATGCCTAGTAAACAAGGTAGGGTCCAGTCGATGGGCTGCCAAAAAGATGCGGTGTTCGCCGCAAAGATCGTCCCATATGTTGCAGTCCCAGAGAACAGAGAACAAGCAGGAGTCCAAAGACAGGTCAGGCAAACAGATCAGAACAGGAACTGGCTGAATCAGAGGTCCAGGAGTCCAAAGCCAGGTCAGGCAAACCATTCAGTTGGAAACAGGCAGGCTCATTGGTTGAGAGGAAAAACAGGTCAGGATCAGGTCATGAGAAACCCAGAGGTACTCTAAAAACCTTCTCACCCTGGCTAGAGAGGATGAGATAATCAGGCCCTGAGAACTGGAGGCAAACACCTTCAATAGAGGCAGGAGCAGGTGAATTAGATGAGCAGTGATTATAAACCAGGCCCAGTTAGACAGGTGAATGGAATGAGTAAATAAGCCTGTCATCAGCGCCAAGATCATGACATTAGGGGCAGCTGAGTAAAAGGGACTGACTACTAAAGAATTTTATTTGTACAAAAACACTTATAATCTCATTTTATATAACTGTTGAGATTCTTTGATCTGATCACATTTAATCATGACAAAATAAGATGTTTTTTTTTGGCTATAATGGAATAAAACATTGAAAATGGAGAGTATGAATACTTTTGGAAGGTATCATTAGCTGTTGACCTACAGGTTGTACAAATGTGATTTATTTAATCCTTCTCTTCCAGAATTCCCCCCCAGATCAGGGCTGCATCACTCAGAGGTTCATGCAGGGGACCATCCTGGCTCTCCTCATTGTCATGGCCTTCAGGTCCGTATGCATGTGTTTGTGCTTGGCAGTAGCACTACCTGAACTTGCTACTCAGACATCTAGTCTGATTATTTCTTGACTTTTTGTTTTGCAGCGTCATTTCAATGTCAGTGCTTTATGTGCTGACGCTCCACCATAGAGGAGCCGTCACAGAGAGAGATGGGTATGTGCTTTTCATTTCCAGATGAGTTTACCTCAACATCTGTCTATCTGCATCCCTAAAATCATCCTGTGAACTCTGTCCCTTTGTTCTCTAGCTATGTTTCATCCTGTGTTCTCTACATCTCTTGGATGCCTATCTTCACTGCCACTGTCACTGTCTCTACACCTGTCTACACATGGTACACTGCCAACTTCCATCTTTTCCTGCAGCTTTAGTTTCCTCAAGCTCTTCCAGTCGTGTCTTAAACTGTTCATTTTACTCTATTTTGAGTGAAATTGGATCTTGTGCATTTATAAGCATCTTTAAATCCTCTGAATTGTGTTATTTCATCTCTTTGTGTTTCATCTGATTGGTACAGGTCTAGAGCACTGGATTCGTCTCGCAAGAATCCCTTCTCTCCAGTCTCCACCACATCTCTACCAGGTAATTTACCTGTACGATTATGCTTCATCTTTAACGTAAGAGGTATTAAAATCAATTAAATCAACTTCATGAGGCTATTTTTTTATTTATCTTAAACTTCTGCGGCATGCTGTTCATCCACAGCTGTAAACAACCAATCAGCAACCACTCTGACATTGAGTAACAACCAATCTACACCTGGTAAGAATAATTAGCAGATCAATGCTTCCCAGTTCACGTCAAGATGTCTTCTGTGTATGGATGAACGATTTGCCTTCTGCAGGTATAAGTGTCCCAGTTCCCACGCCTGGCACCATCGTTAAGAAAGCAAAATCCAGGCAAACGGACAAAGATGGCCACAACAGGAACCGTCTCAGCCACACCTCAGCACCCATGTACTTTGCCAAATCCAAAAGACCTGTGTCCCCAAATGCAGAAGGAATGGGAACCACCAACCGCCTTCCTCCAGGTCAACAGCCAGCACCAAGGAGACAGCGCAGCTTGCATACGAATGGTAGCTGCATGAACACAGCCCAGCACCAGCACTCCCCCTGCTGGTCAATATGGGACATGCAGGGGAGCGAGGATATGTTGGAGAAACTATGCTGAGTCCCTATGTCCTCCAGCAGTCTAAGCCTATAGCAGCAGAACTATAGAGATAGATCAGGATAACCTGAGCCACTCTAACTAGAAGCTTTATCAGAAAGGAAAGTTTTAAGCCTAGCCTTAAAAGTAGACAGGGTGTCTGCCTCACGGACTAAAACTGGTAGTTGGTTCCACAGGAGAGGAGCCTGAGAACTAAAAGATCTGCCTCCCATTCTACTTTTAGAAATTCTAGGATCCACTAGTAAACCTGCAGATTGAGAGCGAAGTGCTCTGTTAGGAACATCAGGAACAATCAGATCTCTGATATCAGATGGAGCTTGGCCATTTAAGGCTTTATATGTGAGAAGGAGGATTTTAAATTCTATTCTGGATTTAACAGGAAGCCAATGAAGAGAAGCCAGGATAGGAGAGATATGATCTCTCTTTTTCATTTTCATCAGAACTCTGGCTGCAGCACCCAAATTCTGATATTTTGTCTAAAAGAAAACAAAGTCTGTTTTTTGCACATGATGCGTTTTGTTTTCCTGTCATAGGGGCAGTTACTGCGCCGTCTCTAACTAGTGTTCACATTGTAGAGACAAACCAAGAAATCACAGCCCAAAGGTGTGACCCAGCAGAGAGCTGCAGGTTGGAGCTATTTTCTGTGTCTCTTCACTTTTCCTTCAAGTATTATAAAATTTATCACATCATGTTAATCTATGTTTTTTATCCCTCTTAGCTACACGCTGTCACTTCTTAGGCAGAAAAATGCTTCAATATCACAAATTACGCTGCATATGATGTAAGTATAAGCCTGGCTGCACCGTAGCTACAGTAACAATGTGTTCTGATGATGCTTGCAGAATTTCTACAAAGCCATGAAAGGTCAGGAAATGAATGAATCTCTGCTGATTATTTTTCTTCAGTATTTTCAGACTCCCTGGCCTTAAGACTAAAACTGAATCTTAAATCTGATCTTATTTTATTCCTGTCTGTATCTAATAGACATGGCTGCTCTGATATCTGTCTTTCTATATTGTAAGATTAACATTTCACAGTTTAGTAAAGGCTTCAGGCTTTGCTGCGCTGATAAAGTCCAAACCTTGTGATATTTTACTCATTTATAGAAATTTATACCTTACATTTTTGTACATACTTCCAAATCTTCTTGGGAGATTTGTCTTTATTTTAAAAGTCTTAAGTCCCTCTGAAAATTGTTGGATGCTGTAGATTGTTTACATCGTGACCGGTCTAATTAGGGAGTACCAATATGGCGGCCGGTGGCTTCACTTTAACCCGGTAATAACCAACGGACTGTCGGCAGTCCAGGCAATAAATAGAGATAGTATGAGCAGTATGCTGGGGCTCTGAGAAGGCTGCAGGTCCCCAGAGTCCCACAGACTGACACTCTGGGTCCCTGAGCAAGACCCTTAACCCCACCCTGCTCCCCGGGCGCCGCACCATGGCAGCCCACTGCTCCCCAGGGGGATGGTTGAATGCAGAGAGGGAATTTCTCCAGTTTTAGATAAATAAAGTTCAATTATTATTTTATTCTCTATTCTGATGGCCTCTTAAATCAACTCTAAATAGTTTTATAATAAAAAGTTTGGCTGCCATCCTGTTCAGAACAAGCATCAAACTCTGCTTGCATTAGTGATAGAGTAGAGGCTCAGTGACTTGAGACAGTTTTCATGTAAGGAAAGACGTTACGATCAGAGGTGGATAAAGTAAAAAAAAAAATAAATACTCTGGTAGTATTAGAGAAAGTTCAAAAGGAGCCATTCAAGAGTTTTCTCAAGAAAGAGTAAAAAAAAATTTGGTCCAAAGTCTCCTGACCTGTTTAACTTTAGAAAATGATGTCATAGAAAGGATCCAAGAAACACTTCCTTTATAATAACCTTTATAAATCCTCTGTCCTTTACAGTTAAAAATAAACTTTGAACCTCTAAAGTTAGAAGATAATTCAGTCACACAAAGAAGGGCTCAGAGGAACGGAGCCGTTAAAGTTTAGCTCAATGTTAGACCTGCTACAAAACAACCTAAACAATCTGCTGTTAGTAGATCAGCCCTTAGATTCTCTTCAGATCACTAAATTGCTTGGCGAGGAATATTTTGATCAAATTTATACTTTTCTTTTTTCAGGTCAAGAAATAATGTGTGGGTGAAACAGTGTGGAGCCACTAAAGGACGTTTATGTCTCAACCGCACAGAAACTGACCTCTATAGCGGACAGAGAGCAGCAACGCAGGTACATCTGATCCGCATTTCTATACAAGGATTTTAGTTACAAGCAGTAATTTATTTATTTATTTTTTTTTTTTAAAGAAAGGGGATGGTGGACTTTTTTTCTAGAAGTATAAATCACCTAATTGATCTAGTCTATTAAGGTACAGCTCTATGCATGGCCTGGTTGTTCCACGTCAGGTACGCCTCTCATTGACCAGCAGTCAGTCCCTGGACTGGAAAAACTATCTAAATAAAGTAAATAGGAAAAAAATTATTAAATGAAGTGTATTTAGCCTCGATTTGAGCAGGTAAATGAGATAATTTACCTATAAAATGAGTATTTTTACTCTTAAAATAAGTTAATTAGATAAAATGCACTTGAAATAAGACAACATAATTGTTTTTTCTTATTTTAAATCTAAATTGTTTTGTTCCATTGGAAAAAAATTCTATTTTATCTCCTCAATTCAAGAACAAATGCAATTATTTTAGAAAAAAATGACTTTTTTTTCTCTCTTTTTTCCAGTGTGGACTGGCATGGCTATCACTGCCCCTCCATGGTTAGGGACTAATGCAGACAAATTCAATGTTTATTTTATCTTAAGAAATTAGAATATTTGGGAACATTTGAGCATTTTTCTCACTTATTTCAGATTTATATCGATTATCAAAAAGAGTGAACTATTTCCAACCCTGAGTTCTTGTCATTCAATGACTATGGCTCACAGATAATAAAAACATTAATCTCTATGTCTGAAAAGGTAAACTGTAGAGTTAAAAATATATTTTCTACAAGCTGATGAAGATTCTCAGTCATCCAGGTCATCGTCATTCCAGAAAAGTTTTTTAAAAAATCCACTGGACTTTGTTTCCAAGTTTAAAGATGTTTCTCTTCCATCCAGGAAGATTTTTTCAATTCAAAAAACTTTTTTTAAATTGAAAAATCCAAACATCTTCAAACTTGAAACCTGTCAAACTTATTTCTTGCCAAAATTCAGCGTCTCACAAAATTACAATATTGCCTGAGTTCAATAGACAAAGATATTTCAAATAGAAACTCATTAATTTCTATGTACTTCATTTCTATGTTTTTAATTCTTGATCCTGAACGGCTTTTGCAGGAGTTGCTGTATCGGTGCGTTATTGCATGGAGGCCTTCAGCTGGAGGAAACCATGAGGCGGAACGTTTCCTCCAAACTCTGAGACTCTGATTTACGGTGGCTCGTGATTAGCTTACTTTACTAATTTTAATGCTGCCTAAATTCATAAATAAAGTTTGTTGGATGCAACCCTCTGTGCCAGAGACGCTGCACGCCCTGCGCTTGTAGTGGAGAGTTTAAAGGACTTCTGCTCCTGTTCTAGTTAATGGTTTTCCCAACATTCCCAGTGTTGTATTACACAACATCAATATAAAAAATTAAAAAACAATTCACTGGACTTTGTTTTTCTAACTTTGAAAATGTTTCGATTTTCTAATAATAATTGATTGAAAAATCTTCCTGGTTGGAAGAGAAACATCTTCAAACTTTGAAACAAAGTCCAGTGATTGATTTTAACTTTCTGAAATGACGATGACCTGGATGACTGGGAATCTGCACCAGCAGGTAGAAAATCTATTTTTAATACAGAGATTTATGTTTTTATTATCTGTGAGAAATATTCACTGACTGACAAGAACTCAGGGTCTGAAATAGTTCCCTCACTGCAAAAACAATTAAGAAATAAGTAAGAATTTATTAAATTAAGTGTATTTATCCTGAATTTGAGCAGGTAAATAAGATGATCTGCCAATGGAATTAATATTTTTTACTCTTAAAATAAGATAATTAGATAATGTTCACTTGAAATAAGACAATTAAATTATTATTTTTTTTCTTATTTTAAATCTAAATTGTCTTGTTCCATTCGGAGAGTGTGTCACATGCCTCCTCAATTCAAAAACACTTATTTTAAGAAGAAAAAATATCTAATTTAGATTTAACTTTTTTTGATAAATGATATAAATCTGAAATAAGTGAAAAAAATGCTCAAATGTTCCCAAATATTCTAATTTCTTAAGAATAAATAAACATTGAATTTGTCTGCATTTGGCCAAATTCCACAAACCAACAAATTTAAATTGGAGTTTAAAAGTGACATAAGTTAAATTTTACCAGTTTATTTAAACCGTGAGTAAAACGTGTCAGAGGAAGCGAGTCGATATGAAGAAGCTGGTTCCACAGACCAGGAGCTGCCATTAGAAAGTCCGCTTCACCTCTGGGGACCAAACTGGACTCATTTTTGTATCTGTAGATTTTGACCATAGATCTGCTTGTATGTTTTTAAGGGGACTCGTCATCTGTGGTCGGTGCCCGTGTCATCTTTCCAGGACATCACCTATCACTTCCGTGTTTCTCACTCTGTGAGTAAACCTGACCTCAGATACGAACCATGAAACCTGCCTGCCGGCTTTTCTGTCACTTAGTGAACCAAAATATGAATGTATGGATTCACCAAAGGTTGCCTTTTGTATCTATGCTTCTTTTTCTAAGTCTGCTTCTGTCTCCTTGAACCCCAGTGGGCCTCAGCAGATGGCCGCTCACACTGAGCCTGGTTCTAATGGAGTTTTCTTCCTGTTCAAAGGGAGTTTTTCCTCTCCACTGTCGCTACAAGCATGCTTAGTGTGAGGGATTGCTGAAGAGTCAATGAGTCGATGCAATCAGCTGGTTTTCCTTAGATAGAAAACTTTGAATCAATCTGACTGGATGATCTGGATCTATAAAGTGACCTGAGATGACATGATGTGAATTGGAGCTATAGAAATAAACTGAATAGACGTGAAATGATTCTAATCTGGCTGTTTTCTTTTCCTCTGAACAGGGAGAAGTGAGCTGTGCCACAGAAGAAAAACTGCCGTTGCACTCTGACTACCATTTTCTGATCCGCAGTAACTGTGTGTGACGAGGAAGACGAGGAAGATGAGGAAGACGAGGAAGACGAGGAAGACGAGGAAGACAATGCGCCTCGCTGTTTTTTTCCTGCTTCTGGTTTTAGATGCAGACTCTAACGATAGGAGGGGAACTTTTCTGATCACTGTTCAAGATTTTAAAGATATTCATGAAGAACAGGTTGTGCCACTGACCCTGCTGTAATCCCTAGCAAATGAATTTATGGAATAAATCCCTAATCCCTGTGATCACTGGATTACAGCCCCCCCCCCCCGCGTAAAAAGCCAAAAAATAAATCCATCTTCGATTAGACTAGAATCATTCACAACCTGAAAAAAAATCTTTGGATTGAAAATTGATTTATTCAAAGATTTATTCATGTTATTACATGAAAGGCAGAGATAGGAACCTCTAAGCATAGCGTTTCTACACTCCAAAATCTATGATCTTTTTCCAGCAGCTCTTCCAGCATATTTTCTAATAGGTGGAGACTGAGAATGACAGGAGAGTGAAACATTTCTCTGGATCTTAAATGTTTTAGTTTAGTTTGGACAGATGCAAACGCAGCAGAGCAATAATCCCAACATCTTTGTTTTTTCTGTTGAGAAATAAAATAAAAGCTTCCAGAGCTGCAGGCAAACAACATTATAGATTCTCCGTCACACATAACAGGAAGCACAGGGCGGCTTCACCACTGATCTCTATTTATTCACTGGATTGCTGATTGCCTGGAAAAAGTGGAGCCACCGTCCACCATCTTGGTAATCCCCTCTCCCAGGGAGATGCACAGTGATAATGCCTCCCTGTTTAGCATTTAGCTGCTAAAACCAGCAGTTTTCTGTCTGCAGGAAGACGTTCCACTGGTAATTTCCCAGTCAGTGGATGAACTAAGCAATAAATCCATCTATAGCCGATGGATCCTATAGTTTAGTCTGCAGACTAACATCAGTCTGGCTATCTCAGACTGACTGGAAGACATTGACTGAGTTAGACGCTGACATTGGGTCTAACGTTAGAAAATAGAAAGTAGAGGAAATAGAAAGTAATTCACTGAGAAATGTTAATGTAGGAATTCTTTATTCAGTGGATGATGCTGTCGTTTTTGGAGTTTGTTTTTATTTCTTGTTTGAAAAAGTCATGAGCTGCAATATATTGCTTGTTATTTTGATCGAAAAAAATCAACTCAAACATTTGACCCATTTATATATATATATAACTGTTTTCTCCCCCCTCGGGGGGGGGGGGGGGGGGGGGGCGGTCCTCTCCCAGAGGCCTGGGAGTTTGAGGGTTCTGCGCAGTATCTTAGCGGTTCCTAGGACTGCGCTCTTCTGGACAGAGACCTCTGATGTTTTACCTGGAATCTGCTGTAGCCACTCTCCCAGTTTGGGGGTCACAGCAGCCCCCAGTGCTCCCATTACCACTGGCACCACTGCTGCTCTTACTTTCCACATCTTTTCTAGCTCCTCTTTCAGCCCTTGGTATTTCTCAAGCTTCTCGTGTTCTTTCTTCTTGATGTTGCTGTCGCTTGGGATTGCCCCATCTATCACTACTGCCTTCTTCTGCTGTTTGTCGATCAACACGATGTCTGGTTGGTTAGCCATCACCTGTTTGTCAGTCTGGATCTTGAAGTCCCATAGGATCTTAGCTCGGTCATTCTCAACTACCTTAGGAGGTGTCTTCCATTTTGACCTTGGGACTTCCAGCCCATACTCATGGCAGATGTTCCTGTACACTATGACAGCTACCTGGTTGTGGCGTTCCGTGGATGCACTTCCTGCCTGCATTTTACACCCTGCTCTCACTGGGGACGCTTGTATAGTAGCATTTCATCAGTACCAAGTTTTCTGCTCTAGTCCATCTATGTCTTGTTCCAGTAGCCAATTTGTCATCACGTTGCCCTGGTTCCCTAGCAACTGACGCGGACCTTGTTAACCCGGGCGACGTCCGAGCCGGTATGGCTCTTGTATTTGCGGTTTCACTCATGCCTGAGGTAGGCCACTAAGCACAAAGGACCTTGCCTAAGGGTCCACCTGGATGTCCATGCCGGGGATCGAACCACGGCCACCTGTGCCGGAGTCGTGTATATATATACATACAAATGTATATATATATTTATATATTTCATTTCCAAAAGTGATAAACTAATGATGTACATGTAATGTACATCATTAGTTTATCACTTTTGGCTCATCTTTATTATTCTGCTCCATTAACACATTAATTTTATTGCGATGGATTGTATAATATGTTATATTACATGATTTAAAGACTTCTTAATGACGCTGCAATGTGATTGGCCTATTTTTTTATTCTAAGTTAAAGTTAATCCACTGATGCTCTGAAACAACCAGTCTTTGTCAAAGTGATGAATTAATCTTTATTTTAAAAGTCTTAAATCTCCCTTAAAATGAAAAAATCATGGTCGTTCGAGGCTGTAGCGCACGGTTGTTTACATCGCAACCAGTCTAACTAGGGAGTACCAATATGGCGGCCGGCAGCTTTACTTTAACCCCATGCTACCAGCGGTTAATCAGCAATCCAGAGAATAAATAGAGATCTAGAGGCTTCACACAGTCAAAGGGGGAGCGGTGGTCAAGTGGTCAGAGCAGTCTGTGCTCTAAGAAGGTTGCAGTTCCCGGTTCCATCCCCACAGACTGCCACTCTGGGTCCCTGAGCAAGACCCTTAACCCCCCACTGCTCCCCTTAACCCCACACAGAGGCAGCCCACTGCTCCCCAGGGGGAGGGGTTAAATGCAGGGAGGGAATTTCTCTATTATGAGATCAATAAAGTTCAATTATTACTTATTTCCAGCCTGTTGGATGGAAGTTTTACAGACTTTGATGAATTTCCTGGTGACATGTGATCATCATCGTCCATCACTAAGGCAGAGTAAAGGTTGGCCTTAGCGTGACGTCATCTTTATCACTGTGGAAACAAAGTTATCTGTTCTAAATGTTCAAGCTTCTCATTAGATTAGAATCTATAGTCAAATATCAAATATACTTTAGTTCAATTGATTATATCTGAATTCTTTCTGTTTCCATTGATTTCCTGGTTTAGTTTATAAAACTATAACATGTTTATATCGAGTAAAGGTTTTTAGACGTTTCCTGTGGTTCTGCAAGAAAGATGGAAATATTTTGAGGCTTTTTACCTGTTTTTGTTTACTTTTACCAGCGATGCCAATAATCATGGAGGCTGAGATGAACTGTCACGGCCGAGCAATGTTCAAAAATGTATTTTTACATTTCATCCAAATGTCTTCCAACTCTGAATATTTACTGTAAGCCTTCAGTAGTGAATATACCTCAGCGCTGCACACTGGCATCTCCTTGGTCTCCACAGTGGAGCTTCATTAGGGGCTGTTTTTAAAATCCACTGTGTCTTTAACCAAGGAACAAACGAAACACTGGAGTTATATCACTGTATAAACCATGATAAATGTTCATGCATGTGACTCGTCAGGAGTCCCTGCGGAGGCAAAGCTCTGCTGATGGATGAGATATGAGCCTGAGTCGCATGCTGTTGCAGAATCACTGGTGTGTAGAATAAAACTGGAAAAATGAGCAAATGACTGGAAACAAACGTCATGCAAACACTGTTTAGCATCTGGAGCCGAAACGTCCTTCACTGACAACATTTCCTCAAACACTGGAGTAGCTTAGATTGTACTTTGATAACTGGACAATGCTGGTAAAGCATGAACTGATGTTTCTTCTTCCAATTCAAGTGCATTTCCAATCACTGCTTTAAAATGATGCATCAGAGGTTAGAGGGAAGGTCTTCAGACGGGTTTTGGATCAGAAATCTGGGGCACTGATTCATTTGGAAACTTTGTACTTCACTGTGTATTTCTCTGGAGTATTGTTAAATATATGTATACCCCGTGCCTAAAACAAGCTCAGACTATGCAGTGAAAACCCTTATAATTCAAATGTATTTTCTCTTCTTTTAATTAGATTATTATTATTTTTCTGCTTAATTTCATGAATTAATGTGTTGATGAAAATCCCCCATTCACTGTGTGTTTTAAATTAACCTATTATAAAGAAAAACAACAAAATGTAACTCAAAAATAACATTAACAATGAGCAGGAAGAACAGCCATCAGACAAAGATTATAGAATTTATAATGTAGACTCTGTATAATGCTCTCAGTCTATTCCTTTGGCTAATGTTCTATTTTAGCTATTTAAAAGCACCAGTAAACGTAATGAAACCACTGTAGCACTTTTTCACTGTATATAGATGAACTGCTTTCGCTTCATCCAATGCATGAGTACGGTGTCAGATACACACAATAGAACTGCATTTTATTCTATTCTTTTATTCTATTCTTATTTGTACATCCTTTTTATCTGATGTGCTTTTTTTGTTTGTTTTGTTTTATATCAATAATATATTAACTTTGTGGAGAGGGAGAGAGAAAACAAGGGCACACATTTGGTATTTTTGATCTTTTTGAAAACAACTATAGTTTAAGCAACAATTGATTGGCTAGAATAACATTATTACTTTATAAAGCATTGATTATTAAAGCTCTTTGTCAGAATATATGCTGTAATACTATGACTGCATGCAGTAAATAAATTGATTATTGCATTGCCTGAATGTGTTTCCTTTTCCTTTGACCTGATAGATCAGTGCTCACTCTGTCCGCTAGATGGCAGTAGATCATACAGGATTTCTATTGAAAACATTAAATGAGCAGATTTCTATTATTTTGGTCCAACTGTTGCGTCTCTTTGCGGATTAAAGGGAAACTTCAGTCAAAGAGTAAACCGACGCAAAACGTAAATACACGTCATCGGGTCCATGGCTATTAAATGCGTGGACGCCTCATTAGACGCTGGCCAACAGGCCTAGTGGGCGCCATGTTGGATCGGACTACAGTTCAGACAGCTGCTGTCAGAATGAACGGGAGGCGCCTTAGATTTCATTTTAATCACATGAAAGAGTTTATGTTACAATAATCTCTGATACGTCACAAACTTTAAAGACCAAAACTAATTCTAAAATTACCTTTTTTTCAGATTACACAACTGAACTCCAAGTGGATGAGATATATGCACTTTTATATTTTGCAAATAAATATTGTTATGATAAACACAAACATTTATATTTATGTATTATAAGATTTATTTTTACGAATATTATATATCTATATATTATATTATTATTATTATTCAATATTTCTAAGAGTTGCTCTTTGATAATGATTATTATGATCTATAGAGGGATT